AAATCAAAAATTTCAAGTAAGCTATGAGACTATCATAATTGATTTATGTTAGAGAATGGCTTTACGATTAACTCTTTCAACTTGAGCTATCCGTTTCACACTGAGATTTCATTCATTTTCTTCGTCTAAATGCTCTCAAATAGTAAGATGGTGATTATCAGAAAGTGTAAACCTGAATCTAGTTTATTGGATGATAGTATCGAAGGCTTATCTCATTTTTTTTACTAGAAATATGAATAAAATATCATCGAATAGGTGCATTCATTTTTCATGATTATAGTTATTCCACTTATGTCCTTAATAGTTCTATATCCTTAGCTGTGATACAAACGTCATGCAAGAAACATCCATTTGATAATTCTCAGTGTGTTATGACATTTTCTAAATCTATTACTGTAGCTTCATTTTTTTTTAAATAAAGGTCTTTTGCTTCTTGTTTGAAAGAAATATGAACATGAAACATTATTACGTAAAATGAATATCATTACACGTGATACACCAGATGGTTTATTACTTGAATTATTAATTAATAATTCAAAATATTTTGATCAACGTGGTTATGAATCAACTGTTAATCGTTCATTATTATGGGGTGATCTTGAAATAAAAACTGATCCAATAACATCAATTGAATATATTGAATATAAACGAACACCACCTATATCAACAAATAAAGATTCAACAACAAATGACATACCAATAACTAATTTACGTGCTTATGCAATATCATCACATCCAAATGAATGTCCAGTTGTTGCATTACGTCTTTTATCATATCATCGTCCACCACAATGTTCAAATGCTGATGCACCATTTTATCTTGTACCACGTACATCAGCTGATCAACGTGTTTGGTATAAAACAATACGTGCTGGTCGTCATCGACTTGATTTATTACTTCAACAAGCTATGCAAAAAGCTGGTATTAATGGAAAATTTTCGTGTATGAGTTTAAGAAAAGGAAAAATCAAAGGTTTACTTATTCCAACAACGTCTTCAAATGTTACTTCCATAACAAATTTAGATAACTCATCAACATCAACATCACCATCAACAAATGACGAAAAATCAAAAATCAATGCAATATCACCATTATCAATAACAGAACAACAACAACAATTATCATCAACACTGAATAATCATAAACGAACAACAAGTTCAACATCAAATTCTAATTGTTCAGAATTACTTGATTTATCATCTCACAATAACAATAATAATAATAATAATAATAATAACAATGGTGTAATTAATTTAGCAAAAAAAATAAAACGAGAATCAACACCACCATCACTTTTATTA